GATTCTGGTTTTGGCTTTGCTTACTAGTAGCTCTCGAAGCACTCCACTTTCCTCTTTTGCCCACCCCACACGTACCTCCTTCCCACTCGTAACTACTTCCTGCTCCCTTCCCATTCTCCTTTTTTTCTTGTCACCCTTGACTTTCTAGACGCCCGACCTCCTCTTTCTGCACATAGACTTTCCACGATTTAACCCTTAAACTTTTTCCGTTCTGTTGCTGTCGACAGACCTTTTTCCTGAATCCACTTTCCTCCATCTTGTTTTTGCCCACAGGGTGTGTCGGGTTCCTCACATATTTTTTTCCTGCTGGTTGCGTTCTTGCCATGATGCACTCAACTCGTAGTCGTCATTATGTGGCTGTAGTGTTGCGTGGTAACCGCAGGTGAGTGGAGGCACTAGCGATGAGTGTGGATGGGGGTTGGTGGCCACCGTGCGTCGTTGTGGTCGGTGACGTGGTAGTTGTTGTGGTGGTGGATAAGTCGTGTTGTGATAGCGGTGGCGGGTGCTGGGGTGGCCCTCTTGTGACTGGTTGTCCTGCGCTTGGTGCTACATGGTGCGTGGCCTGTGGGGTTAATACTTAACTTTCGACACTGTGTTTTAGACTTTTAACACTCCCCACTTTTCCCCCACGCTTCTTTTCTATTGCCTCTTGCACTTTTTCCTTCAAACGTGTTTCTTCCGTCGTCTACCCATCACCCTCCCACATCATTTTTCAACCACAACTATTTTCCGGCGCCCACCCGACACCCTTCCCTACTCCTTACATTTGTTTCTTCAATGCCAATCTCTCACCACCCCACCGGCGGCGGACGGGGGGGAAAATGCGAGGTTTTCCTGACTCCTCTTTTTTCACCGGCGGAACGGTGGTCGGCCTTGGTTCCTGGTTACGGTGTTCGCCCGGCCATTTTTTTTTTCACCCGCCTTTTTTCTACTTTTCTCTTTATGCTCCGCTTGGCTCATAGTTCTGCCACTATTTTCCCTCACGTTCGCATAGTTATCTTGGTGCCACTGTTTTTCTTTCATTTTTAACCCCGCCCACCCGTTTTCTCCATTAATTTTTTCTTAACGCCCACATTGCACGCCCCTACCTTTCCCCTTGCCCCTCCATCTGCCGTGCCTCTCTTTACGCTCATCACCCACTAACACCTCCCCTTCTACCTTCCTCCATCCTGTTTGCACCGCCCCCTCCCCCATCTCCTTCTCTTGTTCCCCCTCTATCTCACCCCACACTCCCCTGGCCCTCACATGCCCTCCTCGCCTTTCGCTGGACTCCTTTCACCGCCCCGGCCTGACCACATTTATTTTCTGGCCCTTTTTCCACCCACACCTTTGTTGTCTGGCCATGCTTTCCATTGACATGTTTATATTGTGAACCCCCACGTGTTTTCACCTTCTTTGTCACTCTAATTGTTGCATATGGATGGCCTTTCGTGCCTCCACATTCCGTTTTGCGATGCACCTTCCCTGGCGAGTGCATTTGCCACTGGACGTAGTTTTCCTCTTTCTTTGATTCGATTCCTTGTTTTTTTTTCAGTGCCCCTATATGTTAAGGTTGATGCTTATTTACCGTTTATCCGAATCCCCCCGTTTATGTCTTTTGGACACTATCTTTGGTTCTTTATGTCCCAGTGTGGGGCTCCCCATACCGCGTTCTCCGCCGCGCCCTGTACCATCCGCAGGAACCGAGATTGAACCCCGGACTCGAGGTCTCATGACTCGCAAATTACGCACTGTCGGACGCTAGCGTCTAGGACGACGAAAGTCACAGCCCCCGGCATAAGCGATCCGGTCCGACCTGCAGGTCCAGCCTGCCAGCCGGTCACAGGTCCAGGCCCGCCGCGTACGGGCACCCGGCCCCGAGCTCTCGGTTAGCCCATGGCCAGTTCGCTTCGAGGAAAGGCGCCAGGGCCTAGCCGGGTCTGGGTCTGACCATAACCGTGACACGACTAGCCGTGTAGACCAGACGACGGTCGTCGCGTCCCCGCTCGAGGCGGTCAGAACGGCTGGCCTCACTGGCAGCTTGGTGCCACGCGTGGTCTTATGGCATACGGCCCCCCTTCGAAGATCTTGGATATGCCCCATGATCCCGACAGTGCGTATGCACTGCCGCCATGGTGGCGGATCGTGGAACTCACTCCCCTCTACTTGATACTTTGCCTCCCAGTGCAACCCCATTCTTATCCTCCTGTTGGGCTGCCTCCTCATTACTTATCATTATTCGTCCAGTTCCAGTTTCTTAAACTAGTTCTTGGCGCAGTTCTTGGCTGTCACCCGTCGAGATTTTATATTTCTTGGTGTTTCTGGTGCCTTCAACCGTGTTCTTGCCCGATGTTGCAGCAGACTTCAGATTGTTTTTACCCCCCCGCGGTAATTAGTGTCCCTCGTCCTTATCAGCCGCTACGTAAGCGCATACATGCGCCTTACTCTACTTCTTGGCATAGCCCTCCTCCATTAGGACTACTGATTCCTTCCCCAATGTTCTCTCGTCCCCTTGACCTCTTAATCGCTAAAAGAGTCTTGTTTCCTCACCTCTCATAACACCGGCGATTCCAAGCCCATTATGCGTGTCCTCCATTAATTACAGCAGCGCTAATTCTTTCCAGCCTCTGTCTTCGCTCTGCCCTCGTCCACACTTTATTTGCTTCTTTTCTAACTTCATCATTTTCATCCACCTCCATCATATGGTTACTGTCTGTGTTTACGTCTCCCTTTCCCAGGCTCATCCCTTTGCCTGAGCGGTGCCCATTGACCGTCGACCCTTAACGACGAATTCCCCGGATTTTCCTGCGTTCAATTCAAAATTTAAGACACGGCATTTGGCAACACTCCTTGTTTTAAGTTACTTTCCTTTTCTGTACGACGACTAAGTCACCCCTAAGACAATTACATTTTTTCCAGTGCTTTTTTCATTTTTTTCATTATTTTTCGAATTGGGTTCTCCAATTAGCCTTCTCATCTCTCAAACCCCACTACCCAACCGACCACCCCTCAGCATGTGATTCTCAAGAAAACTGATTCCGAACTACAAGATTTTACAAACAATAGAGACATCCAATGATCACAAAATGATTATGTTCCTGAGTAAACTTATATTAATATATATATATTATATTAGATTAAGAAATCATTTCAGAGTAAATTCTTTAGTTATTATAGGCATCTAATGAAATTATAGTTTTTTTTTTTTTCCTTCATGTAGCAAAAACTTCTATGTAGTATTATGACTTATTTTTGTTTTATTCTATGTCAAAAATTTTAAGCCTACATAGAAAATAGAATGTGAATTCACGTAACAATAAGTGGTGAGAGTGATTTATGAAAAATGCTCCAATGTTTACTTATTTATTTGATAGTTTAGTTTTAATTTGGATTGTATTGCCTTTCATTTAGAAATTTCACTATTAACGAAGTGAAATTTCTTTTTGGTGAATTAAAAAAAAAAAAATGAAGGCAAACAAATGAAATTTCATTGTTTGAAAACAACAAAGATTCGTCAACTTTGTTTTTTTCTTCAAAATTTTATATTTAACATTAGTCTTGTTTACTGAATCTCAATAAAAGAAATTTAAAATTACATTTCTTTTAAAAAGCGGGCAACTTAATAAAAAATTATAACAATTTAAGTTTGAGTAAATAGGGATATTTTGGTAATCGCATTGTGCATAAAGCACGTCTTGGGGAGCTTCTATATACACACACCTAATCCCCTCAATACACATACTTAATGATATTTAATTTTATTACAAATTTATCCCTAAGTGAAATTACTATTTTAAACACCATTGTTAATTGAAAACATCTCAATGCACACCTCAGATGTGAATTCACATCTGTTGCATCGTGTGTGTAGCTTGTGGATGCTCATTCATAGCTTCTTCCATCAATTTCTGTATATGATGTTCATTGAGGTAGACGTGAAACCAAAGGGCTTTGGCATTTCCAAGTTCATCAACCTTCATCATTCGTAGGGAAAACATCATTGTTATGGAGGATTTGCCTTCTGAAAATCAGCAAATAAGTGTTCATGTGAAGCAGAGCGAAGGAAATGTGAGTTTAAATTTGTTTTTTTTTTCCCAGCGTCGTTCGGATAACCAGAGCCGAATTGTGTTAGTTGGTTCGGAAATCTACTACCGAAATAATTATGTATTTTCGGAAGTTGATGTCCGAACAAAGTAATAAATTTCGGAAGTTGTTGTCCGAACAACATATTTAAATTCGGAAGTTGTTGTCCGAACAAAGGTAACTTTTACAACATTCAACTTCCGAAATTTAAAAAAAATTCGGACAACTACTTCCGAATGAAGTAAATATTTTTTTTTCCATTTTATATTCCAAATTTGCAAACTGCATACCAAATTTACAGTTTCAAATTGCAAATTAATCTTTATAATGCCATTAAAAATTTGTAATGTTATACAAAACATGCAGGAATATGTGTCAACTCAAGGAAGTCAGGTTTGCGCGGATTTTGTGTTAGATTACACCACTCAATTCACAACTGAACAGGTTCAGTCTACGAAATTATAACGATTATGTTTCGAATTGCTCACCAAATGTAAATGTTTGATAATATTTATTTAACTTTGTAGGTATTCAAAAGTAAGGATGAATTGCTCAGCTGGGTACGTGAAGTTGGAAAGAGAAATGGTTTGGTCATTGTAATCAAAACATCAGACTATGGTGGAGGGAAAAAAAGACCCAGGATGTATCTTGCTTGTGAGAGGAGTGACCAATATAAAGCAACAAAGAAGTTAAAACATGATGGCAACAATACATCAAGAATAACCGGTACGAAGAAGTGTGGTTGTCTTTTGATATGAGGGCTCACAGGTTTGCCACACATGATGAATGGACATTGACCGTAGTATGCGGATTGCATAATCATCCACCTGCAGAGCACCTCGAGGGACATTCATATGCGAGGAGGCTATCAAAGGATGAGAAAGCATTGTTAATGGATATGTCAAAGAGCATGGTTCGGCCAAAAGAAATCCTAGTAACCTTGAAACAGCGAGATGCCTTCAATGTAAGCACACTTAAAACCATTTACAATGTACGCCATTGAAACAGGGTGTTACAGAGAGCTGGAAGATCACAGATGCAACACTTATTGGGTGAATTGGCCAAGTATAATTACATTGAGTGCCATCGGTCTGAAGAGTCCACGATGACTATGACAGACTTGTTTTGGGCACATCCTACCAGTTTGGACTTATTTCGGTCTTTCCCACGTATATTAATTATGGATTGCACATATAAAACCAACAGATATCGGCTTCCTCTTCTTGAAATTGTGGGAGTGACATCAACTGAAATGACATTCTCTGTAGCTTTTGCATACTTACAGTATGAGAGGGTCGATAACTATACGTGGGTGTTAGCTACATTACGTGATGTCATGGATGGGTTTGTTGTGCCAACAGTTATTGTTACTGACAGAGAGCTACCCTTGATGAATGCCATACAGAAGATATTCCCGAGTGCCAGACATTTATTATGTCGTTGGCATATCAGTAAGAATGTGTTGACCAAATGCAAGAAAATGTTTGAGACACAGCAAAAATGGAAGAAGTTCAACCATGAGTGGAACTCTGTAGTGTATTCATCTTTTGAAATTCAATACGAGGAGCGTCTTAAATCATTACTTAAGGAATTCAGTAGTTATCCTGATACAGTCAAATACGTCATGGATACTTGGTTGGTTCCTTACAAGGACAAATTTGTGGCGGCATGGACAGACACGTGTATGCATTGTGGCAATGTTACAACGAACAGGTAAGATTACTTTTCTTCAATATGTTATTAATAAGTGCCATGTACTTGATTTTAACTTTGACTTACATTGAATTGAATAGGGTTGAGAGTGCACATGCAAAACTTAAAAGACAATTGGGTTCATGTCAAGTCTTATTTCAGGCATCATTTGAGAAAATACACAGTCTGCTTGAGTTGCAACACACTGACATCAAGGCTTCATTTGAGAAAAGTCTAACTGTTGTGCAACATCAATTTAAACCTTCTCAATTCAGGGAGCTACTAGGTAATGTGTCTATCTCTGCATTGGAGTATTTGCTTGTTGAGAGTAAGAGAGCCAATTCCATTGGTATTGATGTTGAAGCTTGTGGATGCGTCCTTCGCCACACTCATGGTTTATCTTGCGCCCATGAGATTGCTGACTACATCAGACAAGATCGTCCTATACCACTTGCTACCATACACTCACAGTGGAGGCAACTTCATATCTCCATATGTAAGAAAGAAGAGGAAACAGAGGTGACTTGTCATGCAGAAGTAGAGTTGTTTGTAAACAAGTTTAATGAAAGTGATAGAACCATGCGGTTGGAGCTTTTGAAGAAGTTGAAAGAGATTGTATATCCGGGAAGCACTTTTCTTGTTGAGCCGGAGGTGAAGCCTACAACACGTCCTCGGGATCATAAGAAGATCAATGTTTCTACCCGTCGTGACCCGTGTGCATTTGAGTTAGTGCAATCTGGACATGATTCCTTATCATCTAGGGACACTGAAATCACTACATTAGCTTCTACTCTGCAAACCAAGAAGAAGCGACCTGTTAAGGGAAAGGAGAAGGTGAATCCGAAAGGGAAGGCATACATTACTAGAACAGTGAAACCTGGTGCATATGTTGATGCTTTCCCTGCTGGGTTGAAACCATATATTAAGTTTGTCAAGGATGTAGCTGCAGATGGAAATGGTGGTTTCAGGGCTATAGCTGCTTCAATT